CTAAAGTACTGCAATTTGCTTCTTACTGGTGTAACGCACTCCAAGCTCACCGTGCTACAGTCTATAATGAATGCTGCAGCAAGGCACATCTCCCTGTCCTCAAGCACCTCCCACACTTCTCCCTCTGTCCTTACATCGGCTACCTGCAACATATAAGGCTCAATTTAAAGTTCTGGTCTTCCTTTACAAATCTCTTCATAACACTGCTCCTGTTTACCTATCATCCCTTATTCACCAGCATTTCTCGTCAAGGCCCTACGCTCTACTGAAAACCTGCATCTATCCACTGTTCATACTTTTTACACCTTTTACACTCACCTTCAAGACTTCTCTAGTGATGCACTGTTCTTATAGAATGCCCTACACTTCTCCATTAGACTCTCACCAAATATCAATTTCTTTTAAAAAAAATCACTTCTTCGAAAAGGCATATCAAATAAACTGTCAACAGCTTTCCCTCCCCACACATCACTAACTAATCCATCTTCATATGCAAGGTAGAAGTCCGCTCCTGGAATCTAGGTGTATAGCTATGGCTCCCTAACTTATAGCCCAGATTGCCTAAATAAGGTATTCACCTTACTAACTGTAATTAAAAACTTTGAACAGTGTCTAACACACCTTATTCAGGAGAATACTCCATTTGAGTCTATAGGAGACAGCTGTAACACCGGTTGAGTCATTAGGAGACACCTGTATGATCATAGACTTCAAAGATAATGGATATTCTATCTAGGGTATGCATTGTAATATGGCTAGATAGATAGATAGCTAGACAGACAGATAGACAGATAGATAGATAGACAGACAGACAGACAGACAGACAGATAGATAGATAGATAGATAGATAGATAGATAGATAGATAGATAGATAGAATTGTATGTTCAGTAATTCTGCAAGAGGCTTTATTGATATACCGCATACAATATTTATTTTGAGTGAAGTGAAAAATCTCTGATTTATCTCTTACAAACAAAAGCTCACAACAAATTTTATTGTTATAATATTGGCTCACTAATTAATTCTCTCTTTTTTAATTAATTATGCATCATCATTTTTAATAGCATGAAAGATTTTAGCCTTATCTTTCTAATTGTATAAATTCACTCTGCATAATTTATCATATTCCTCTTAATAACTTCTCAGCTCCAGGGGGCGAGATAACTCAAGATGTGCTGTGAGCCAAAAAGCTTTGATTAAGATTCAGATCTGAAACAGTTAGGATTTAAAAATATGGCTAGGATTTAGTACAGTTTTTACTCCACAAGCTACTTAAAAGACTTTCTGCTCACTGTAAACTTTGCTATTTATTACATCAGTAACATTGACGTTACAACTAAAATGTCATTTCAAGCTCTGTGGTTAATTTTAATAAAGCAAATGTGATACAAACGGGAAAAGTATTTTTTTCTGTGTTGACAATGCTTCAAATTTCAAATCATGATTTAAGATTTGTGATTGTCTTTTATCATCTACTTCAAATAGAAACTATAGGTCCTTAAAGAACCATGTAAATAAATTAGTTTTAAGTGCCATTTTGAACTATATATCGTTTGCCCCCTTAACCCTTTACACACAAGTTGGAAATGCATCGTTGACAGTGACAAATTAGGGATGAATAGCTATCCTTAACATTTTTATTATTTGCTTTACTTGGTCATTTATCATAATAGTTATGATGATTATTAATAGTATTATTGCTAAGTATGGCTGGACAAATGGCATACTCTCCAAATGCAATTCTGGCACATACAACAGGAGTTGACAAACCTTGCTCATTTATAGCACAGTGGCATTTTTACCCATGTACTATATTGTATATATTTAAGGATTTATATATTATGTGTGTGTGTTATCTTGAATAACTACTCAGTCTTAATTTTCACATCATTTAGTAAAGCATTATAATTAAATTGCACATAGTTTTAAATGTGCAGCATTATAATGTTATGCATGTATCGTTTTAATAGTATTATATTAGTATAGTGCTATAACAATGCAACAATATATATAGCAAGGTATCATTATTTTAACTTAGAGGCATTTGAATGCAACAATGCTCAGACATTTAGCATTTCATGTGCGTTTTCTGCATCTTTTATTGTTACATATTTATAAAGATGAGAGATATTTTATTGGAGTAACACAAGAAACCTCATTGCTGTAGCCCAGGGAACATTGCTTTGCTATGACTTACAGCTTCGCTTGAGCATGTTAAGGGTTCTTGCAGCTCTTTTCAAAGCTGCCAATGCTAGCCTGGGAATTATGGTAATGTGCCACTTCTGAGCCCTCGGCAGGATTTGCAACAGAGAAATCACATCAGCCTATGCTGATTAACAATTCCATTCCATCCAGAGATTTATATAAAAAAACTATCTTACATTTTGCTTTTTAATAAGAATGATCACTATCTCAAATTGAGTCCCAGTAAATTTTAATAAAGGCCCAAGGTTGAGTGGCATTTTGCATGCTGATTTAGCTGTGATTGCTTGCTTTTGATGAGCACTGGGCTAGCATATATAGCTTTCCATAGAGCAGGTTTAAAGACCGATACTGAGGAAAAGGTTGACAAATTATGATAAAAATACTAACTTTTTATGGTATTTCTCATGCTTCTTTTCATCAAACTTTGAATAAAAAACTAAAAAAAAACATTACCTACTGCAGTCTAACCAGTGTCCTGGAGTACTGATAAGGCACAGAAAAATGTGTTTATTTGTCTATATGATGCAATTGTGATTAAGTTGTTTTTTGAAGCCATGGTGGAGGATCATGGAATATGTAGTTTTTTGATATTTGCTTGTTAGCTAGACTATGTAAAGCCTAAAAGGTAATGTCATTGTTCTGATATTAATTAACATGTGATATTATCTATCAAGTAAAACATTCCACAGTCTGGTTCGTCATTTTATTTTAATACCTGATCTGTGAACCCAAGAGTTATCTGCCAAATATATACAACTGTTAAATATACAAAGTAAATCTAAAAGTATTTTAATAACATGAACAAAATCACACATGAAAATAGTTTTCTCTTATTCGGTTTTTACAATGTTATAGATCTGCTTTATAATGCTTTTGTTCACAAAGTTTCACAAATGTGTACATTATTATAAATGTATTTTATAAAGGCCTTCATTTTTTATTATATCTTTCTAACATATCACTTTACAATGCTGCTTAAAATAAGTCAGATGTACTATAAATATCAAAATACCTTTTGAATACCTTTTACTTTGCAATTTATTCAGTAGCCCCATACTTGTACAGAAGAGTAGGTTTTAATGAGAAGGAAACTGTATCAATGCACAGGTATTTGGGTTTAAGAAACTGGGGCTTGGGATTGATGTAAACAATGTGATAATTGAACAAGTCCATATGGTATATTCTTTCTATCACAACACACGTACTACGTATTAGGGTCCCATAAATCAGAGAGAGATATCACAAAACACGTACAGTGGTTTATGTGAAACAATTTATTTTTGCCCTTCTTTGTTAATGTGAGCATTGGTGCTTTTTTAATGCCTTTTCAATAAATTTAGCTTTTTACCTTTTTACCAGCTTGAATTGGAAACAATTACTTTTGCAATCTGATTCTGTATATTAGGTACATTGACTTCTGTTTGCATACTCATTGCGATAGTAGATTCACCCATATGGATATCTTAAAGAATGGCTCGTCAGATCATCACCATATACCACAGCAGAATGTAGTCCATTTAGCACTTGTTAGCTTTTCCATCAATATTCAGTGAGAAGAAACTTTGAGCAAGTTTATATTTTCATCAATCCAGCCTCTTCTATTTTTCAATTATTATTTTATTTTTACTTAATTTCCATTTAATTATACTACAATATTGATTTAACTTGGTTCACAGCATAACTGTTTTTCTTTCCTAGCCAAGCACACAGAGACTTTTAATTAGATAAATTATTTTAATTTGCTATTGCACTGGGAAAAAAAACAATGTCTTAAATTTTCATTTTACTCTCTTTGCTTGGTTGAATAATAGTGCTCCTATTATATATACTTGTGTGTTGTAGATAGCTGCAGGAGAAACTTGTGACATTGGGGTAACTGTACTGAATATCCTAGTATACCACAAGTGGTCAGGCAAATAATAAATAAATCTAGAAAACACTTACTTTTGACATCCATATAAATTACAGATTTTGCAACAATCACTTTCTGCTCAGTTTCTAAACCAAAGCAAAATTAGGTTTTAGTAATTATGGACACATTCAGTAAGCCTGAATTACACATAGGAGCATGGAGTGAGCCTTGTTTTGATCATTCTGTTGACGATACTTTATTGTTAGACAAGGTCACTATATCCTGTGCATTGCTCTCTTCTTATCATAGCTTTGCTGATGTATTTGACAAACACGTCTCAGTACCTGCCTCAGATCTGACTAACCAAGGAGCTGTCTCCACATTGCCCACTTATGCAACATCCTATCAAATAACTGAATTGGTGAGATGGTTAAAGGAACACTATAGCCACTTCATTGAATGGTCTGGGTGCCATGTGACCTCCATTTTAACCCTGCAGCTGAAATGATTGCCATGCTTCCATTAACCTGCCTATAGAAGCACTTCAGCTGAGATAGCCAAATGAAACTCTACTATTTCAATCAGATGGTTTTACAGAGACCATCTGATTGGCGTAGTATACATTTTGCTGTGCATGCGCACTAGACTCACATCAGAGGTGTAACTACAAACCACAGGGCCCCGGAGCAAAAATTGCCCTGGGGCCCCCCCATTGGACCAACCCCCCATACATCTAGTCCCCCCCATAAGTCTACTTCTCACCTATCCATATATGTCCACCCCCCCACACACATGCAGACAAACAGATACGAATGCAGAAACACACATAGAGACACACACAAACACACATACACACATACAGACATACACATACATACAGACACACACACATACAGACACACATATATACACATAGACATACACACACAGAGACACACACACACACATACATTCAGACACACATGCAGACACACACATACAGAGAAACATACATACAGACACACATACACAAACACACACACATATAGAGACACATACATACAGACACACATACACTAACACACACACACACACACACATGCAAAATGTTTACGTCACCCTCCTGTTTCCTACCTTTTAGGTGCAAGAGGGTGACTTTTCCTGGGGTCCAGTGGTGGCTCAGGCTGATGGGAGTCAGAGTTCCTACTCTGACTCCCTCTCCTTCCTCCCGCTCAGCTCTCTGATAGCTGGGAGGAGTGACGGGGCAGTCACTTCATCCGAAGGTCCGACGTCATCACAGGTGGCCTGGTCACGCTGTTAAAGTGCTGCAGCGCTGACCAGGGCTCCCTGGATAGTCATTGCCATCAAGTGGCCCTAACAGTATGGGCCACCGGATGGACCCCTTCAATGCGGCCCCGGCGGTTACACCACATGGGCCAGGGCCGCAACACATGGCGGCGGGCACCCGGTCGCAGGGGTCCACAGAGCGGTCGACCACGGTATTTCCGCCAGTGGCTCATATTGTTTTCTTTTTGGAAAGAGGTGGAGTTCAGGCACTCTTGAATTCAGTATATTCAGTATTGTGGGGGAGAAAAAGTAGTGACTAGGACACTACAGTATCAGGAGTACACATCTGTTGTCCCAAATGCTATAGTGTTCCTTTAATGAAGGCAGTGAATGAAATAATCTGCTTCTGCATGAATGCAATAGGAAATTTAATTTCAACTGATTGCTAACTTGTAGTAAACCTATCAGTTTATGAAATTAAGTCTGGCCATTCTAAGGACTGGTAATATATTTCACAGTATTCTAATGCTGTATTTAATAATTTGCAATGCTAAATCTGTCTTTAGAGGGAAAGATCCCATCTTAACATTACCATTATTAGACACCTGTGCAGCAAAAAAATGGGCGGTCACAGAAAATGTAGTGCTTAAGTCTAAATACCATTAAAACACAACTTTTATTACAAAAAATAAATAAATACACACATCCCCTTCACGGAGAGGGGGCAATAGAGACAAATAACAAATTCCAATGTTTTGCATTCATATCCACAATTAATCATAGGTAGATAGATTTCAATCAGTGTTATTTCTTTCGAGCCAGCTGAAAAGCATTTTTGCACACGTCTAGTATCTATTAGGCTTGTACTCAAATATATTTGAGCTGGTACAAACTAATCAAATTCCTTTTAATCTATGCGCAAAGGAATTGATTCATCTTGGATTTAACTGTGGAGTCTTAGTCATTGAGTAAGACAGCCCAAGTAAATCCCAGATGGATCAATTCGTTGGGGTGCAATTAAAAAGCATTTTATTTCTTGAAACAGCTGAAATGCATTTGTACGCAAGTCTAGTGTCTACTGCTATGCACAATCCCAATTCTTACAGGTGAAACTCAGGTGGAAATGTTATAAGATACACTACCCACTTGCTAATAAAGTGCCCAAAATCCTTAAATTACAAACATATACATAGAAAGTCAATAATGAACCCATAATCCACATTTCACATATACAAATAAGCACAAAACGGCACTGTCAATTCAGTGCAAGTAGCTCATAGTTTCACATTATTATTACTATTACCAAACATTCAGAGAACAACAAAGCCTTATAGTAGTCTTCTTTCTATAAGGCATCAGTAAAATGATACTTAGAATGCAATCTGTAAAATATTTTTAAATTGTAAAAACCTGAGATTCATACTCAGTGGCCAAGGTAACCCATTTAGAATGCCCTTTACATCAGCAACACTTATCTACTAAATAGGAGTTTAGGTTGGCAGACGTAACAAAGTTTTCATTTTTAAAGGGGCAGCATATCAAATTAAGCAATTGTGACTTAAATTAAAATTAACCAAATTAGTCTAGTTTTTTTTTTCTCTGTGCAGAAATAGATGTACCAGTGTGATAATATAATAAACAAGTGTAATAATATAAAAATAAACAAGTATGCTCATTTAGACTAAAGCAGTGACATGAGCACTATGCAATAAAATTCCTCAAAAGCCATGCAGGCAATGTACACAGAAGTATAGAAGGTAAGTTTATTTATCAGCTTGTGGCAATTGAGAAAAAAATATGTATATATATTAGCACTAAATATCTGTGCAGCACATTGAAAGAAAACATCTGGTAGCATCCCTTTAACAAAGAATGGAATTCACTATTGAACTTTTATTTCAAGCTTGTGAGAACTGCAGCTTAGTGATTATTTAAAAACTTGAATAAGTTAATGAACATAATAAAGTATTACAGTTGTTATCCAAACCAGTGTGAAATGTCAATTAATGTAAGTACTTTTTGAGAAAAACACAGTGTGGAAAAATAAAGAGATAAGATAAGATACTTCCTGCAAAGAAAAAAATGCATGCCACATTTATTTATATCTTATACAGGTGCAACAAGTATGTTGACATATGTTAAATATAGCAAACACATTTCTTACAACTAAGAAACCAAGTAAGGAAAAAAAAAGCTAGATTTCTACTTTAGTGCAGCGGTATCAATCTCAGAATGTACAAAACATGTGAAAAGAAAAAGAAAAAGGCCAAAAAATGTACTTTACACTAGTGTACTTTATCCCTTGATAAAGTTAAATATCACCACAAAATGAATCGTAATGAGAGTGGAGTGCTAATAATTGTATTCACACTTTAATATCATGCAAAAACATTTATACCACAGATTAAAAATGACACTCCAATCAGTTACATGAAAAATAAAACATACATAGTAACATCCCTTTCTGTTGGTGTTCCCCAAGGGTCTGTCCTTGGTCCCCCCTATTAGACATGTGCAATTCGTTTAGTTCCAAATGTACACTCGGACGAATTTCGTGCAATTCGGACATTCGGATGCTTACAAATGTCCGAAGTTCAAATTGACAAATTTCTGAATTTCTGAATTTCTGAATTTCCAAAGTGCTGAATTTCCAAAGTGCCAAACCAAACCGAATTTCCGAATTTCCGAAGTATCGAAGTGCTTCGGATTTCAGAAAAGTGGCAAAACAAGAGCGGGAGGGAAAAGTGAATAATGACAGGAATCTTGACCAATAAGCTAATACCTGGCACTGGGAGCCCTATTGATGTGTAAGTGGTTGTTGTGGTTAGGGTTAGGGGTTAGGTTTGGGGTTAGGGGTTAGGGTTAGGAGTTAGGGTTAGGGATTAGGGCACCCTACAGATGTGTAACTGGTTGTGGTGGCAGTCTGGGCACTGGGAGTTCTGCAGATGTGTAAGTGGTTGTGGTTGTTAGGGTTAGGGGTTAGGAGTTAGGGTTAGGGAACCCTACAGATGTGTAAGTGGTTGTGGTGGCAGTCCAGGCACTGGGAGCCCTATAGATGTGTAAGTGGTTGTGGTGATTAGGGTTAGGGCTTAGGGTTAGGTGTTAGGGGTAATGGTTAGGGAGCCCCACAGATGTGTAAGCCGAAATCCCAAATTGACGAAGTTCGAAATTTCTGAAGTGCCGAACCGAATGTCATTGGTTAGGATGTTAACTGGAGAGTTACTTTTATATAGCCAAAAATATCTAAACCACCTGGAGCTTGAGCTCAAAACTAAACTTGTTGACCCTTGCAATAACAGAGTTTTGAGAATGTCATGACCTATCACTAACTCTCTATAATACGACACTACCTATGAATAATCTGCTACTGATGTTCTAAAGGAGCATAATAAAAGTATAGTCAGGAACATGCACATGCTACATATAGTCAATATAGTCATATGGTCAATAGTAGCAATAGTAGGGGTAGTAAGAATTCCTAGCTATACTGAAATTAAATTAGATATTACATTGCATTAAACAATTTGCACAACAACCTTCTTACCTTGGTTAATTTTTTTTTAGAGCTGAAAAAGTATTCTACAGAGCTTTTCACTGATAACTACATGAATGTATTGTTTAATTAAATATCAATACTTCAGTAATCTATTTTACTTAACAGATAAGCCTCTTGTACCATTAACATGCAGTGTTGACTACACTCCTAGTTGTTTAATCTGATTTTTTAATTCTATTTATATTCTGTCCAATTTTGAAATGAGATTGATAAACAATTAAGAAAATAAAAAGCTGCACAAGCATGTATTGGATTGCCATTATAATTAGTATGCATATTTAAGCAAAAAAATTAAAGTGGCAGAAAATGTTTAGTTTAATATATTTTTTTATGTAATTAGAGAACTGTTTTCTGTCTTGTTGCCTTTGTAATTAAAGGAACTCTCCAGTGCCAGGAAAACATATCCATTTTCCTGATACAGCAATACCCTGCAGTGCCCCTCGCCCTCCCACCCACCCACCCCATGTTGCTGCAGGGGTTAAAAACCCTTCAGTGACTTAGCTGAATCCAGCGCCGATGTCCATTGGCACTGGGTCAGTCTATGCCCACGCTTCTCCCCCGCCGGCTGACGTTGGCTCTCCCGCCAATGGCCGTGTGCACGCATTAGATCTCCCCATACAAAAGCATTATTCAATGCTTTCCTATGGGGAATCTGGCGACGCTGGAGGTCCTCATGCATAGCGCAAGGACGTCTAGCGTTTTTTAAAACACTTTTCGTGTTCTAAGAACACGGAAGTCCCTCTAGTGGCTGTCTAATAGAGTCAGCCTCTAGTGGCTGTCTAATAGACAGCAACTAGAGGAGGACTTACCCCTGCATGGTAATTATTGCAGTTTATAAAAACTGCAATAATTACAGTTGCAGGGTTAAGGGTGGTGGAAATTGGCATTCACATTTTTTAAGCATTCTGAAGGTTTACATTTCTAAGCAAAGCTAACATTTATTTGTACTCACATGCCTGAATACAAATCTAACACTTTGTGCAATCACTACTTTCCTGACTGTAATTGTTAAGTATGAAACTCACTACTTAATGCATTCATTAACATATAGACTTGTAGACCTGTTTTAAGATGTGGAACCACGTGTGCTGCATTGGTGTAGAAAAACCTTAAATTTTTATGCTTTATGACATAATCATTCAACATTATTTGGCTTTAGTTACTATGTGACTAGTGAAATAGCAATAGTCTTAAACATATACAGGGTTATTTCGTGAGAATGCAAAATGAATTTCAAATACAAGGCCAGAGTGACTGAGCTGAAAGCATAGCTTACTCTGAGAATTTTTTCAATTTAGCTATTTTGGTCTTAAATTCAAAATTCACTTTGCATTTCTACATTTCTCAAGATTTGCTGTGTTTTGATTTGGATTCTTCATTTTTTTTATT